TAAAGTAATTGAATTTAGTAATAATGTGTGAAAATAAAAGTAATTGAATTAGTAATGTATTGCGAAAAATAAAGTAATTGAATTTAGTAATGTGTCGCGAAAAATAAAGTAATTGAATTTAGTGATGTTTCGCGGAAAATAATATAATTAAATTTTGTAGTGGGAAAAAAATATAATTGAATTTTGTAATGTGTCGCGAATAGTAATTGAATTTAGTAATGTTTCGCGAAAAATAAAGTAATTGAATTTAGTGATGTTTCGCGGAAAATAATATAATTGAATTTTGTAATGTGTCGCGAAAAATAAAGTAATAGTGTAGTAATTGAATTTAGTGATGTTTTGTGGAAAATAAAGTAATTGAATTTAGTAATGTGTCGCAAAAAATAAAGTAATTGAATTTAGCAATGTGTCGTGAAAATAAAATAATTGAATTTAGCAATGTGTCGTGTAAATAAAATAATTGAATTTAGTATTAGTAATGTGTTGCGAAAAATAATGTATATAATAGTAAAATAATTGAATTTAGCAATGTGTTGTGAAAATAAAATAATTGAATTTAGTAATGTGTCGCGAAAAATAATGTAATAGTAATTGAATTTAGTAATCTGTCGCGAAAAATAATGTAATAGTAATTGAATTTAATAATATGTTGTGAAAAATAAAGTAATTGAATTTAATTTAGTAATGTCTCACGAATGGTAAAATAGTACGCCTCATTTTCAAGCTTATAGTGAGCTTATAAAATCTTTCCTAAACGTACACCATCTCTAAATTCATGTTCATGAGTGATGGTGATATGTTTCCAAGAGGGTGCATTTATGTGTCGTAAAAGTTTAATAATAATTACTAATATCAATAAAAAAATTTTTTTTAGTGGTAATAGTATACTAGCTGCATACCATACGATACTGTACTGCTATATACAAGTCGCATACCACTGTTTACTATATACCAGCCACATACCATATACATTACTTATGCACATGCATGCTTTTATCTCATGAAGGAACAGTTTGCAGACATTTTTTAGCAATTTTACATGCAAGTCAAATTGCTAAATTCCACATAAGTATGTTATCTAAAAGATAGTATGAAGAAGTGATTAATGACAATATTAATTATTATTAAGTAATGTTGTTGGTATTTATCAACAACCACAACAATATCTGGCAGTGCAAGTGATCTTATTAAAGTTCTAAATTCCAATCTACCAATAACTCAAGGTAAAGTTGTTGATACAAAAAAAAAATCATATCAAACTTTTAGATAGCTTTAAATCTATAACTCAAATAATTGGTGATATCCTGATAAGTATGAAGAGACAAAAACCTTATTTGAAGAAACTTACAACAAATTAAAAAGAGAAAAAGAATAAAAGGAAAGAAAGAAAAGGAGATAATTGGTGATGATGACAATAGAATAAAAAATCTGATCCAAAAAGAACTAAGGGCTGTTTTAAGAAAGGCTCTAATCTAAAAAAAATATTATGAAAACAAATAATTCAAATTTTTTTTTGCAAAATTAGAATTTATTTATTTATATTTAACATTCTGCATATTAATATAATAAAATCCCTTTCCAAAACATGTAATTCCTTTACATTATGATCAATCTTAGCTCTACCTTTAATTTTAATTTTATTTTAATTGTTTTGAATACATGTGTATATATATACATAACATATAATAAAATTTTAAAAAAATTTTTATTTGACACGGGTGCTAATACATCACCAGAAGCCAATGTGATTTCACGATTAGTCACATTGAAAATCATATACTAAATTTAGAAGGTACTGTATATCGCAAAAAAAGTACCCTTCTGTATTTAGATTTTACCTTTTTTAATATTAATATTATTATTATTATTATTGAAAACCGTTTGATTTGATTGGCTAAATGAATTTCTCCAATTTCGTCAAAAAGTCACTTGCGAATTATATTAACATTAAATAAATGTAAGGCCATGGATTATATCTTAATATTAATATACAGAAATGGCTAAAACTCCAACCCTGCAGTTATACAATAATATGATAAAAATGTTAAGTATATACGAATACATACAATCAATTCTTTACTCCCATGGACCCTAATTCATTTTATGTCCTTTTTCATATTGTAAGACTTCCAGAATTCTATGTAGAAAGTTGTTGGTGGGAAAACATTTAAAAGATTTTTAACAAATAATGCTAATACAGTTCTATATCACGTGTCATGGGCGGTTTGACAATCATCAACAATTTTGGACTATCAAAGTCTGTAACTAAGACACACCGGAAATCGTTACGATAATGTTGCTACAATATTTTTTATGTGTGCTCTAAGTCCAGATCAATTTAATATAGAAGGAATAGCATGAAAAATTAACTGCTGCTGTGTGTCTAATTCGCGCAGCAGCAGCAGCCAGCGACAATGACTTCTATGAAGCTACAGTCAAATATAGACGGAAACTTATTTCCTTGACGTTTTAACACAACACTAGCTATAAAATTATTAATAATCCTTTTTTTATTGCAAAATAAAAAACAATTAGTTTTTATTTCATACTGTTGATGAAATAGTATCAACAATAACACCAATATTGTTAATGTTATCCACGTTGTTTATGACAGTAGGTGAGATTTTATCGTTTTTCTGTAGGTTATCTAAATTTAACAATTGATTCTTCCTTATGTCTAACAACCATCTCTTATAAATTCCAACATCAATATTTTCAATAGTTACATTAGCTTTGTCACAACATTCTTGACTAAATCTTTCATACGTTTCTCGGTCATTAATCAAATATCTTAATGATCGAATCCATGGCTCAACATCTTGTTGAGGTATTTTGTATATGCCCATCTTTTTTATGGCATCCAGATCAGTTTCTCTTTCACCATTTGTTACATTAACATGAATAGTTCCAAATTCAACCCCACATTTTGCTTCGGGCAAACCCCCCGCATCAGAACAAATAACTGGTATTCCGCGCAACATCGCCTCCACAACAACAAGACCAAATGCTTCATACCTAACATATTTAAAAATAATTTTAAAATAAACATTCATTCAATAAAGAAAAAAAATTTTTTTTTCTATTTACCAAATAGAAGGTACGAGAAGTACTTTGACTTTTGGCCACAATTCTTCCATATTTTCAAACATTTGAAAGATCCTATTAATAAAAAAATGAAATAAACAAGCTGATGTTAAAATTATAAATTTATCAAAATTATTATATATACACTTACGTGACATTATCCAATTTTTTCATTTCATTTAATAGATAATCATTTACGCTCCAACTTTTAACAGCTGCGAATTGAACATCTCTCATTTTTTCAACAATTTCTTTGAAGATAGTGTAACCTTTAATGGCCCCAGGATTAATGATGATAACGTAGGGAGCATCGAAATTGTAATATCTCTTGAAGGGTGGTTGGCCGTATGTTGCTGGATGTAAAGGAAGATATGTTGAACTAATTCCTTCGCCATAAATGTCAATATATCTTTTAACAGCACGACTAACGGACCATACACCTTCAATTTCTTTAAGCCATTTGTGTTCCACGGGAGAACAAGTGCTGCCGAATCCTGGAACACCGCCATATGGGCCAAATGATAAATGCTCACACGCATGGCAAATAAATATACGAGTTATTGAAGAAGGTAAAGTAGAAGCAATCTTTAAAGCGACAGAATCATTGAAGATGAAATGAGTTGCACGAAAAGTCATGATTTCTTTTTTTATAAAATGAAGATAAAAATTATATTCTGTAGCGGATTCTTTATCCTTTTACATGTTAAATAAGCGAAATAGATAAATAATATGCGATAAATAATACATATATATACAGTATATATATATATCATACCTCCAACCATCGTTTCATTCGAGAATTGACATCTTCAAGCGGATTAGATATGGAACTTCTTGGAAATATTTTAAGATAGTCTTCCAACTCGAGACCTATCATCCCTACATTACCCCAAATAAATCGATAGACACGGACTTTATCTTTTTCCAAATCGAAGCATACTTTTTCTTCAATATAATTGACACCAGCAGCCAAAATATCATTCTTCCAACAAAGTACGAGAGATATACAAGCATGTCCTTGAGATGATAAAAAAGATAATAGATAATGGTTTGCTTTGTAACCGCCTGAAGTATTAAAAAGACCCAAAGCTGTTTGAATCAAAAATATCCTTAGAATTTGGCGAGAAGTTGGATAGACTTTTTGTGATGATGGATAAGTGGTTAATTGTGGAAGAGAATTTGTGCTTGCATCAGCAGCAATCATTTTAATTTATATTGGTAATAATGATTTCTGTTAATTGAGAAATTTGTGTATAATGCGAGTGGGGAAATCAATTTATAAACAAAAAATTTATTTTAGGCGTACATATTAATTATTTTTTAAGAAACTGTTCTTATGAATGAATTATGATGTCATGAATATTATTTCGGTATGATATCATACAGAAACTCGTGGAAAAAAATTTTTTCTATTTTACTAAAATTTGTAAATCAATGCTTTTTAAAATAACTCGAATGCCTGTAAAAAAATTTCGAAGTCTATTAATCCAGATTTTCATAACATCATTTTATCCAATAAAAAAGGATTTTTAAAATCCAATAATATCATTAGGCACTATAAATAGGCACGATGTTTTTATCAATAGACAGCTTGTCATTACTCGCAGATCGCATAAACCTTTCACCTTTTACTAAAGGTTTCTGTGTGGGTGCCTCGTTAAAGTGGGGTAATGAAAATTCTTTTGTGTATATATATTTAAGTGGGTTGATGATGGGTGGGTCTTTAGAACATAGGATGATAAATAAATATTATAAAGAATAATTATATTTAAGCATGCTGGATTAGGGTGATAAATAAAATTTGATTTTTTTTGCTTGAAAAGATATAAAAGATTTCTTCAATTTATGTGATTGTAATAAAAATGAATTAGAATTATTTGTCCATAGCTAATGAGTGATCTATTAATTAATGATATTTATTCCATTAAAACAGTTGCACCAAGTCCCTCTAACGTCTTTTTAATTTTTTCTGCCTCTTCTTTATTCACATTTTCTTTAATAACCTTGGGAACACTTTCTACAAATTTTTTTGCCTAAAGAAAAAAATTTTTTTGTCAAGAATGAGAAACACGTAATGTGTATAAACATTTATTTATGTATTACCTCTACAAGGTTTGTTCCAGGTATAATATTTTTGATTTCACGAATTATCTTTGTTTTAGAAGCAGGATCAAATTTTTCTAATTTTAATGTGAATTCTGCTTTCTCGGGAGCCTTTTCTTCCTAATAATCGAAATTTTATTAGTTTATTAAATCAAAATAACAATCAATTTTTATTTTGATAATGATTAATTAATTCAATCAATTAAATACTTCTACAGGTGTAGATGTTGCATCTGTAGGTGCAGCTGTTGCCATTGAAGCAAAATTTACTGCAGGTAACGCAACGTCTTGAATGTTCAACTTTATCTGAAATTCCAATTCAAAAATTAGATTAAAAACAGTGTCTCTTTCTTTCATTATTATTAATAAATTATTAAAATTACTTTTAATGATTTGACAAGTTCTGATGTTTCGATTAAAGATAATGATGCAATTTGTTCTACTAAATTTGAAATTTTTGGATTGTCTCTTTCATTTTTTCCTGGTGTCGGTAATTTTACATTATTATGTTCTGCAGCTTCAGTTGCATATAATGCTACTCCATATTTTATTACACTATTATCTATTTTCCCTTGATATTTTGAAATTACAAAAGTTGAATTTCTAAAAAATCAAAAAAATTAGAAGATATTTCATTTCATATGCAGAGAAATCTTGCATCTATTTCACATTTCTTACCGAGCAGTAGCTCTACTAAAAAACGTATTTATTATATTTCGATACTTGTTTAATTGAATTGAAGTTTTATTTTGATGTTAATTGATATTCTGTATAGGATTCATATACAATTTCAAAAAGAAATATTTACCATGAAGAAAGAGATGATTTTCATCAATTTAATAGTCCAATAAAAATACTTGGAAATTTTATTGTAATCTTTTTTTGGTATATTATTATCTGCCTAAAAATTATCCGGCAAATGACTAGTATTAGTGTTAGTGTTAGTGTTAGTAGTGGTTTTTATATTTAGTTTCTTTTTGTATTTTTCCGTAAATTGTTTTTTAAAAAAAAAGATCTTGAGATAGCAAAAAAAAAAGAATGGCAATTTCACAAGGTTAGATCTGTTTTTTTTATTTTAATTTTTATATTATTTGTTGTACTCTAACTAAAAGATGGTCGTTAAAACAAACCCCACACAAAATTCTATTGTGGTCAGACTCAAAAAATCCACCAGCTCTTCCTCCACGTAAATCTGAATTTTCGGGAGGAAAACCACAAACACCACCTGCCTGGCTTGTTTCTCTAACACGTCATAACCAAGGAGAATATAACCACCCTCATGAATTTCTTTTATCAAAACGCTTTAACAGAGAAGATATGACTGTTTTTATATGTAAAAAGTGTCATAAATGGTTTAGACTCAAGGCTGATTTACCTGAAAGTCTTGATTTGAATAATCGATTGAATCCAGAGCCAGGCTCTTGTATTAAAAATCATGAAAACAAGTTACATCATCTTCATACAACCATGTCAGATGATTCTCGTACTTTAAATGCACATTGTTGTTTATGTAGTTTTGTTATAAAAGTTGATATTGATGAACCATTGATCGATATCCAGATTTTTGATGCATTACAAAAATCAAGGCAGCACTATTCGACAAAGACCACTGAAAATGAATCACAACCAGATTTTAATCGTACCATTGTATCCCTTGGACAACTTCTTGACAACGCGATAAATGAGAATATGACACCATTGCCAATGGGAGGAATACACGGGGATTTTTATAAAACAAACATTGGCTGGGATAGTGCGAGGTTGGTTTTCGTTCTTTCTTTCAATCAATCAAACAATCCTCGGAGATCTTACAAACATAATTATAACATCTTCTGACAAAGATTTTTCCTCTAGCCAGGCTTTATTAGAAAAAATCGGGTACAAAAAAAACAATAATCAATTCGAATACGCCATTTTTAAAGGTCGCAAACGAATTATTTCACAGGCAAAAGAAGAATTAGATATGCAACACATGGAATTTAGTAAGTGTATATCCTTTTTTATAATAACGTTATTCTTGATTATTAATATATTTTTTTAAAAAAATATTGTTTTTAGCTAATTTTCAAAAAAATGATTATTTAAATCCTTACGATACGTTGGCAAATATTCTTGGAACAAAATGTAATGAAGTTAATTTATGTTAAATTCTTTTTTTTGTAGCTTTAAATTCTAATTGAAATTTAGTTCAACTAATTTTTAATGGATTGTTAAGATCAACGGCATAATGACCCATCTCAGTCTACTTTCAATCCCGTATCTATAACATGTTCAACACAAGCTAGTGGCTATTCAATCCTTGGTTGTGTTTCAGATATGGAAGACGATATTTTGAAATGGGCTTATCATATAGGAATTTATGATTTTCCAGAAAAAACTCCTCAATATTTACAAGCTATACATGAATTATCTTTGGAAAGAAAGAGCGATTCTTTGTCTACGCTAGTAGGTGTTGAAAAATCACGAGGTATTTTTCTCTCCCCCATATATATATATATAAGATGATTTTATTTCTATTTTTTATTTTTTTTTATTTTATAATTCATTGTTTCATTTGTAATATATAAGATAAATTTACTGTTGATGATGTGAAAGAAGCGTATCTTCATTTGCAAAAGGCAGATCATTCTGTATCAGACGATATACTGATTGACGTTTATAAGTCATTGGTAATTAATACTGTTGTCTAACTATTTACTAATAATGTATTATGATCATATCAAAATTGACATATTAAATCCATTTTAGATGAGTGATCGCCCTACTATGAGTACAAGACATCGTGAAGCATTATCTTTTATTGGCAAATTCAGAAATAGCTCAAAAATATTAAATTTTTTGAAGGATGGAGCTATTTCTTATGGTGGTATGTAAAGATTTTTCAACAATATTTTTGTGTGTGTGTAACTTTATATATAAAACAATTATTTTATTTTCAATTTATAATGATGCAGATATGAACGTGGATAATTATTCTTCTGATTTGTAAGAATTATACCAATACTCGGATCTCGCAATTTCTATTTGTCATAATATTAAATTTCTCTCTTTTTCCTGTCGCTCGTATAATCAAAATAGGCCAGTGGGTTTGGATAACATTGGAAATACTTGTTATTTAAATTCTTTGTTACAGGTATTTATTTATTTGTGCTTAAAATAATATATATATATGGAAATTTTTAATACGAAAATAGCTATATTCATGTGATGTTATTTAGTATTATTTTACAATCAGAGATTTACGTGAAACTGTTATATCCTTTGATTCATCTGATATAAACGGATTTGACTATAATCACAAACAAATAATAATTGGTGGTAGAGAAGTTTCAAATTCAGAAATTACCAGAGCAAAAAAATGTAAGTTTGTGCCACTATATTTTGCATTTTTACAAAGAAATAGATATTTATATTTATATAAAGTTAAGTAACAATGCTAATAATAATATATATCTTGTATATGATAGTTGTGAATCTTTTACGTAATTTATTTATCAACCTAGTTCATACACAAAATAAATCTATTTCACCTGAATTTGATCTTGCGTTTATGGCACTAGTTAGCGCTAAAAACGATGAAGATGAACCAAAGGATCCATCACCATCATTACCATCTAAACCTAATATTGATGAATTATCAAGTCCTCCTGACTCCAGAATGAATATTGATTATTCAAATGAAGTTCAATCTTCAGATAAAGTTGTCACTAGAGCCATACCAGATTTATCAGAATTTGGTGCAAACTCTCAAGGAACAATGGAAGAAACTGTCACGCTAGCCAATGATAATAATGACCAAACTGGTCAATTCTTTACCGATGCTGAGAATGATTTATTTAGTTCTGGTCATGATAATGGTGCTTCCAAAGGAAAAGACAGAGAAAACTATTCTAATACGAATTCTTTAGGCCAAGATATGATTCCAGAATTTTATAATTCATCTAACGGTGACAAGGAAAAAAATAATTCAGGAATGCTATTTGGGAAACAACAAGATGTTACAGGTAAATTAATTCACATTTGAAATATTATTTTTTTATCAGTTTGCACAATTTGTTTAGCTTCAATAATAACCTTGGAGCATTAATAAAGCAAAAACATTGTTTTACAGAATGTATGGACAATGTAATGTTTCAACTTGAAGCTGCGATTAAAAGCACCCAAAATGATAATATGGAAAATATTGTAAAAAGGTTTAAAAAAAATTAAATTATTTGCTGTAATATGATTGATCTCGATTAATAATATAACATATTATCATTATTATTTTTTTTCAATCTCAATCAGTTTATTTTATGGTGAAACTCGACAAGTTCTTCATTATACAGATCAAAATACTGGTCAAAATATCGATACTGTTAAAAAAGAACCATTCAATCATTTAATATCCTTTTTTCACCTCTAGACTATTGATTAATACTAGATATGTGTGTGTGTGTGTGTGTGTGTGCCGTTTATTATACATGGTTACATTTATTTGTTAATTTCCTTAATTGCTTTTTTTTAAACATCGTTATTGTAGCTGAAGGTCGTGATTTATATGATGGTCTTGATGTTTATTTTGATACATCAACGGTAGATATATAATAATAATTTTTATTTAAATAATTAAACATTACTCATATATACATGATAATTATTAATAGGTTGATTTTGAAGGCACACAAGCCGAAAGAGAAGTAACTCTAACAAGCATACCACCTATACTTCAAATACATGTACAAGTAAGTGTATTCTCTCGACAAATTTATTTGCTCTCATTTTAGTATTTATAATGGGTTAAAATTTAAAAAATTTAATCTAATAATAATAGAGAGTGCAATTCGATAGATCAACTTCCAATGTTTATAAATCCAATGCATTTCTTCGTTTCGACAAAGTAATTTATCTTGATCGGTATTTAGATAAGAATGGTGACCTGCTGAGACAAAGACGTTTACAAGCAAATTCTTGGAAAATGGAAATAGATCGATTACAAACAACACTCAAAGAAAATTATCAAGATAAGGTTAATTAATATATATATATATGTGTGTGTGTGTGTGTGAATAAGATTTTCATAATTATTAAAAAGATATTTTTTATAAAAACTGATAATTATCTATTAATAGACTACTATGTTAAATCCGTCAAGTCTACTTAGAACAACAGCTGATTTTATAAAAAATATGAAATCTGATTATTCTGAATTTTTATTTGATGAAAACGCAGATTGGCAACTATCAGAAATGGAACAAGAGAGCATAAGAGTTACCAATCGAATTTCTGGTAGATACTATATATATATATATTTTTTTTTTGTGGGAGAGTATTTGACAATTTATTTAAATTTTGTGATTTTTGTTAGATGCTGAAGATAGTATAACAACTTTAAGGCATAAATTAAAACAACATTATCATGACCTAAAAGAGTGTGAATACCATTTACATGCAGTATTCATACATAGTGGTTAGTATATTAATAATAATAAAGTTTAAATTCGATTTTCCTTCATTATGAAAATATTAATTATATTAATTATTATGTTTTTTTAGGTCAGGCTACATTTGGTCATTATTGGATATATATTTATGATATTGAGAAAGATCGATGGTTAAAATATAACGATTCTTATGTAACAGAGGTTTGATAGATTTAATTAATATTCATGTATATATATATATATATATATATATATATATATATATATATGATTACACACATCTGTAAAATGATCTATGTTTATTTAGGTTGAAGAAAGAGAAGTTCTTGCTGACACGACAGGATCTTCAGCAAATCCTTATTGTATGGTTTATGTGCAGTCTAAAGGCAAGTTGAATATAAATATAATTAATAAAAGTTGATTTTAATAATCTTTCAATATTTTTTAGATGCAAAAAACCTAGTTGAAACTGTGTGTCGAAGAACCGACTGAATAAAGTTTTTGATTTTATAAATTTTTTTCTATACATAATTTCACAATGTACAGTTTATCGTTTAACTTGGTACGTGGTAATAATAGTGGTGGTAGTAAATGGTTTTTATTTGTTTAAAGGAAATCTCTATGCATTTTTAAATCCTAATTATTATATTCTATAAAAAAAAATTTTTAAACACAAAAATTATATATTTATTTATTATTGCTTAGATTATATATATACATATACATACCATACATATATATATTATTAAAAAATTTAAATATATTAAAATTTTATTAAAGTTTTCTTTTTTAACAACCAATACTATTTAAAAAGAGACAAATAAATGATAACGAATAAAGAATTAAATTAATCGTGTAAATACCTAGGAACTTTTTTATTTTTTAACCTAAATAACAATAATAAAAAAATAAAAATTACCGTCAACGAAGGATAATACTTTTAAGCTTGTTGAATGTTTTGTTCGACTTGGACTTGGGTCTAATTAATACTTCAGACTTGTTATAAATTTGTAATTGGTCGCCTATTTTTGAAACTATAGAAGGAAAATAACAAAGTTCTACTTCATAATTTTGTATTTCTTCTTTGTCCCAGGCACCTTGCATTAAATGTGGCTTAATTGAACCTCCCGGCTTGTTGAATTTAACTTTTGGAGTAGGCTCTTGAGCTTGTAATCCAAACCACAATTTAAAGCCAAAACGTACCAACTCTTCAGCAGATTTTCTAACATTATTCTTTCTTTTCTCGTCCAAAATTTTACGATATTTATTTACTTCTTTAACAAGTTTATCCACGGTTTCAGTGATATAAGGATGCTCAACATCAGCTAAATTGAAGGCACGTAGAGAGAGTGCTTCGTAGACCTGTTGTCGAATTTTAATAGGTGTTATTTTGGCAACATAATCATTTCCGTCTCGTTTTTGGGATAAATTAGTGGTGTCTCTGATTAAAGCGTTAGTATGGTAAATAATCGATGATTCTAGATGATAATCAGTAGACGATTCCTCATCCTCGACATTGACTTTACTGATTTCTGCTGCCGCGGAAAAAACTTCTTGACATATTAAACGTTCTAAAACTGATGTTAAAATCCTTTTCAATTCCCTGGATTCCATGTTATTAATGTTAACATTATAAGATAAAAGTAAATCTCTTGCCCCAGATTCATTTATTTCTACCGATGATCCTTTAGTTTTAGAAAAATCTTCTAACAACTGTTTAAATTTGTCAATATCCTTTATTATTTGAAGAGGTCCATTTAAAGATTTATCGCTAATGCGAATATTTGTCGCGTCTCCAAGTGCTGACTGTAAAAATAACACCTCTTTTTTGGCCTTTTCGGTTTCATGTTTAAACGATTCTTGTTTTTCAAATGATTGTTGAATTTCACTGTTAAAATCATCTCTTAATTGATTCATTTCTTCGGAAAGTCGAGAATTTTGTTCTTTTAATTTATTGACTTTTTCTTTATATTTTTTTAGTTGGTTACTTTGTTCTCTTAATTGATTCTCAACTTGTTCGCTTTCTTCGTCCAATGCTTGTAATAAAGATCTTGTATGAGCATCGTCTAACTTTAATTTTTCATTCTTGTTTGTCAATTCATTATATTTTTTATCGATTTCTTCCTTTTCAACTTGAATTTTTTTAAAATAAGGATTGTTTGTACAATGATAACTCATCGATGCGTATGTATCCAGATGAGGTTTTAAAGTAGTTCTAGCAAAAGCAACTCGAGCTTGTATATTTTGATGAACCATAAACCTTAATACTGAACGTTGAGGAACTTGAAGTTGAATTAAATAATCAACCAATGTTTTGACAAAAGGTTGCTCCAATCGGAGTCTTTTGACAATCTCATTTATAATCGAATTTTTTAAAGGTTCATCGTGAGATAGTCTCCAATTATTACACTTTTCAAATAATTCTGGAATTATTTTATGAATATCCGGCCAATTTCCAACATTACATAATAATAATTCGTCAACCTCACTTTTCAGAACTTTTAACCCTTTTTCAATATGAACTTGTTCTTGACTATCTTTTGGTTCGTATAAGATCAACAATATCCATTTTAAAAAATCATTAAACCAAAAAGGATGAGAATTTTTAAACCATTCCAGTCCATTCCAATCAATAATTTTGTTATTTAGGCTCTTTGATGATTGAAAATCATCTTGCGAATTTTCAACTTTAATATTTTTTTCACCTCCCATAATTTAATAGGAAAAAATTTTATAAAAACGGAAAAAAACTTTTTTCCTTCTTTAATATTAAATTTATAAAATTTTATGGAGTTATCCAATTCTAGACACAATGCCATGTTGTACACCGCCCGCTTATAGAGGCCCATTCATTTAAAAATCTATATAAATCAAGTTGCACGAGATTTTCTTAACCTCCCGTCAGGTTGTTTTAATAAAATTATAAAAAAAAAAGTCGAAAACATGAGTATTCCAGATTTTCGCGTAGTTGTTGCTATTGGTATTTAATTTTAAAAAAAAAATAAATAAATATAAATTTAATTTAATAATTCTTATTATTATATATAAAATCCTTTAGACTTTGGTACAACCACGTCAGGTAAAAAAATAATAATTATTGTAATAAATTATCTTATTATTAATAATGATTAACTAAATTTTTAATCGAATTCGTAATATTTAGGTTTCAGTTACGGTAAAGCTTTCTTTAGAAGATCATCTGAGAATTGTTATCTTTATTTCTCTTTTCTAATTAAAGGAATTTTTGAATTTGTTCGAGGAATTTAGCTCATTGTGTAAATCCAGATATCACTGTAAACGAGTCATGGTAAAAAAAGATATTAATATATAAAGACACGTGAATAATAATAATAATAATAATAATAATAATAATAATGAAACAGGCCTGGACGTGACAAAACACGATTTAAAGCTCCAAAAAACAACACTGTATTACAATACGATGATAATTCGTGGGATGTAATTGCATGGGGATATGAAGCATTGGCTCGAGAGCCAAGGAAAAAAATTAGGATTGTTTCAAAACCGGAACCAAAACCAGTAGAACGTTTTAAATTACATCTCGCGGATTTAAAAGATTCCGACAAACCCTATCTCCCGCCAAACTTAGATTACCGAAAAGCAATTTCAGACTTCCTAAAATCAATGAAACCAGTTAATAATTTTTTGGCATTCTAAGATTTCCCTATTGAATTGATTAATTAAAATAACGTATTTTATTATTGTAGCTGATTTTGGAAACTCTTGTAAATATTTGGCCCAATTTAAAATTTCCTGAGCACGCAAGATTGGTTTTTACTATCCCGGCTGAATGGTATGAACTTATACTTGTAATTTTCATAAAGCATGTAAATATATTGATTGTATATTATATGCACCCATGTAATTTTTAGGAGTCCTGAAGCGATTGGAATATTACAAGATTGTATACTTAAAGCAGGTTATACGACAAAAAATTCGAAGAATAATTTAGAGTTTACTACTGAACGTAAGTAACTATTCGATTTTTAGTCCAAATTTAAGTGACAATTCGCATTCCCTTTTTATTCAAAATCGTAAATAACAAATAGCCGAAGCTGCAGCATTATACTGTATGGAGAAGTTGGAAGAACTTCGGTTAAGTGAAGGATGTAAGCATTTTTCAAAAAAAACATAGTTATTAATGATAAAGTAACTAGTAATATTATATTAAACAAAAAAATTTTTTTTTAAAAAGCAACTTTCATGGTGGTAGATTGTGGAGGTGGTACAGTTGATTTGACAGTCAGAAAGTTATTATCCAAAAATAAATTATCGGAAATTACAGAACGTAGTGGGGACCTTTGTGGTATTTGAACTTTTAAAATAAATAATGAAAACTAAAATTTTTAAAAAAATAAAAATTAAATTATACTCAAAAAAAAAAAATAAATCTTCTACATTATTTTTCAGGTTCAACTTATGTTGATGATGAATTTATTATTTTTTTGGAAAATAAATTTGGGTTTGGAGCTCTTGATGAATTTAGAAGAAACCATTATGATCAATATCAATATCTAATTCTCAATTTCTTTTGTCCAAGGGTTAAATTTGGATTTGATGGCAATAACTCAAGTTTTAGAACAATTGATTTGGACATTGAGAAATTTTGTCCTGCTCTTATGAAATATGTAAATGATGACATTAAAGAAGAAATGGAGCAAGGTAAAATATAATTTTTGGAAAAAATATTAACAATAAATTTCTCTTTATAATTAACAACACAACTGAATGTATTTTGTAATATAAAAAAGAGGACTGGCTATTAGAGATTAAATATGAGGATGTTCGTAAAATGTTTGACCCAGTAATAGAAAAAGTCATTCGTTTGATTCGCAATCAATTGACATCTTCAAAAGAAAAATGTTCAGCAATGTTTATAGTTGGAGGTTTTGCGGAATCGCCATATCTTGTCTCAAAAGTAAAGGAAACTTTCAATTCTGCAGGTATTTTCGAAAAAAACAAAGTCTGATTTTTCTCAGCCGACAACTAATTTTGCATTTTTTTTTTTTTTAAGTGCCAATTATTTGTGTTCCACAAAATCCAATTTCTGCTGTTCTAAGAGGAGGTATAGTAATAGTATAATTTTAAAGCTTTAAATAGCCAAACATTATATTTATGCAATAATAACATTCACTTATTGTTTTACAATAAAAAAAGGTGTCATTTATGGTTTAAATAAAAAGACAATTGCAACACGCCAATTGAAATTAAATTATGGTATTTTTATTATTATCTTTTTTTTTTGTAAAAATTTTCTCGGTCTAGATATTTATTTATATATATACACATTTGTAGGTGTTCAAGTTTATCCATTATGGAAAAAAGGAGTAGACCCAAAGAAAAGAATGACAGCAGAAGGGCGTATATATAAGTTTAATTGTTTGGCATATCGTGGGAAAGAATATTCTCCAGATAAACCATTCAGTTCAACATATTATCCCGTGTATCCTGACCAAACTGGCATTAATTTTAAGGTATATGCTACTGCAAGACATAATCAAAGATTTTGTGATGAACCTGGAATGAAGCCTATTGGAGAATTGTATGTCGAATTACCTGACGTTGAATCAGGACTTGATAGACCTGTATTCTTTTCTTTAATGTTTGGCGAATCACTTATTACTGCAACAGCACAAAACAAAAATACAGAAAGAATTTATACAGCTGAATTTAAGTATACTATACCTGATTTTTATTTTGGACCAGCAACACGTTAAATTTTTATAAATCAAATATACATTCATTTCTATATATCTATCACTTTACGTACTTATTTTGATTTTTTATTAATTAATTAAACAATTCAAATAAATTGATTAAATATTCTTTGAAAAATAAATAGTATTGCATGATACTTGTTCTTGAGATTATTATTTGTAAAATAAATAGTATTTCTTTATTATGTATTATAGATGGTATTACAACTATATCGGTAAGATTTGTCTCTGTCCCTAATGCACCGTAGCTTTCACGTGACCATTCTGCAGGTAATTTCCAAATTGGCAGATTCATCTCTCAAGGACCCCCGGATAATTATAATTGAGGCCATAGGCACTATGCTGTAAAACTTTACACAATATCTATCCTGTACTTTACCAAAGTAAATACCCTCAAGTATCATAGCAAAAAAATTTCTTTTACAGAGATAAATCTTTTGACACCAAAATCCATGGCACTGATGGTCCAAAACTTGAGATAAAGCCCTGTTACAGGGGGTAAAAATGTCCAAAATTTATCCATGTTACACAGTGTTTACATGAGTTCCAATCATCAGGGCTATGGAATTCTGGTTTCAAAAGATTCTGCTCTTTAGAAGAAGCATTTTTTATTAAGAGATTCAGAGACATTAACTTTACCAATCATGCGTTCAATATGATTCAAAAAAATTTCTACGCCAAAATATAGTGCATATAACCTCAATTATAATTGTCTGGGGTCCTCATCTCTTTCCAAATGCATCGCTCCCAAAGGGTGCACTTGTAGAGAGTTGATTGTATTGTTATAATCCAATATTCATATTACCCAAATGAAAATGTTGCAAAAAATTTCTTTACCATCAGATATGGTGCAGATCATCTAAAGTAGGGATGTTAATCAGTCCTACCATTTACGACTTAAAAGGTCCTCCTCTTGTGATAGATAATACATAGGCAACCCCGTTATTTTTAAAACACCAAAGCCAAACATATGTAAATTGCTCTGTCAATATGAATGTCACTAATAAAACTTTATAAACCGTAAATTTTTAAATTTTTTGAAGCCATTTATTTATATGTAAAAATTACCTCGTTAATCCGAATTTTTATAAATAAAAATTGGGCCAATAATATGCAAGTTATACAAATACATATGTACAAAAATTACCATGGAAATAGCAAATAATAAAAATAATAACCAGAGTAGACTTTCCTCTGGTGCAAACAAGAGAAAAAAAAAGAAAAAATATGCATTGAAAAAAATAAAGAACCAAACATAAAAAATAACTAGCTTGCATCCAAATATAATGTCAGTTTCTGAATTCTAAAAAAGAGTGATTATTTTTTATTATCGAATTCAATTCACTGCAAATTCGTATCTAGATCCTAAATTTTTAAATTTATTACCCCATTTATCCGAATTAATTTATGACTCTAATAATAACTTTGGATTATAAAAAACCTCGTTAATCTGAAGAAAAGTTCATGCACAAATTGCCTTCGGATTAACGGGGTTGCCTATGTATTTTAAAACTTGTCGTCAACATTAGATTTTTCATACGCAAACTACACTTTTTTTATTGAATTCTTTGTCCATCCATCCATACATTAATTTACCAATTTATTCATAATAATAAATAATAAATAATACATAAATAAACGTAAAAAGATTATTTATACATATAATATATAATTAACTCTTTTTTGTTTAATAAACACCTTTTATGGTCGGAAATTAAACGATAGTGGTAGGGTTTGATTGTCCGTTTAGTTATCAGTTTTGGGTACTGCTTGGTTTTTGGTTTTTGTTACGCATAAACATTTTCGTTTTAACTTTTTGTAAAGGGGTTTAATTGTTTTTTTTTAAGTGTGAACATAAGGTGTTAAGACTGATTGGCAAAAATATTAAGCGTTAACAATTTATTACTGACTGACTGCCTATGCAAAGAGCTAACAGTTATCGTTATCACATATTGTATTTGTTAAAGTAAACGTACGGCTGACTTTAATCGGCCAAATAAAGGTAAAAGGTAAATAGGAACTCTATAGGAGCCTTTGTTGTTTTTGTTTTTATTATAATTCGTTGTTATTTGTACCATAAATTGTGTTTACTGATTCACCGAAGCTGGTAGTGTAAAGAAATACATTTTTATTCCTATTAAATTTTATTATGTTCAGAAACATGTATAAAAAGGTTGATTTCACCACCTTCTTCTAATGTTTGAGATAAAAGATCAATAACATAATAAATAAATATTTTAAAAAATCACGTAAAGTTTGATAACTTGGTTCTCTCGATAATCTATCACAGGGGTCCACCCCGACATGTCCGATTTATTACGTATCAGAAAAATTTAATTTAAATTTTTTAATTGAATCTTCCTTTAAAGCCATGAATTTATTTATATTTATCACTTGAGATATTTTTTCTAAATCAAAATTTTCATCAAAATTTTCATGTAAATTACAATAGATTTCCCCATTCATATATAAGATCATCTGTATAGTCGTGAATTCTTTGATGATAAAATATGTTGAAGAAATGTGATGATTGAATATAACAAGTAAAACACCTGATTACTTTTAAACAAAAGAACTGCTGATGATAATTTAAATGCTATCAACAATGGTATCATAAATCTTTTTTTTTTTTTTTGTGGAAAAATTTTGCAGTAAATTATTATGCTTTACCAAAAAATGTCTAATGCCCAATGTGCGTTTATGCCAAAAAATTAAGAATTACGTAAAAAATGCATAATTCTGGACACCTATTTATACCACTATAGCTCTATAATAATTTTAAAAGAATTATTATCCTGAGAAAAAGACTACACGACCTAAAGTATCTGACTGAATGCACCTCTTCGAAATTTTGCATAACGAAAAAAGATTTTTTACATCAATTTTGTAGCCTAGATTCTGCATCCATGTATATGATTTTCTCAAAAAAATTTTTTTTTCACTATTAGAATTTTTCATACTAAAAATACATATTACTATGCCATCATAATGTTATATATTTATTGATTATTGGTAAAAATTTGTTACAAACCCCCATATCTAATAAATCACCACTTTTTCTTTCGTGGCTGTTAGTTCCCAAGAAAAATTTTTATATCAGGCTCTTGTAACTTTACCACATGTATATTAAAAACATATATATATATATACATATATACACATATCGGTAAATCTTCATGATGCAAAAAATTTTAAATTTTATATCAACGGTAAAGTTCTCGAGAATATTTTACCACGTGTAGATAATAATTATTTGCGGAACAATCAAAAAGGTGCGTTCAGATACTTTCTTCCAGGTATCCGATCACAATAGAAACGGAAACGGAAATCGTTTATTCAGATTATTATTATTCAAATAATCAAAACACCAACCACACCAACCTTTAAAATGATAAGGTTAACAATATCAAAAACAGTAACAGTGACAACAAACGTTTAGATGATAATGTCAATGGTATGACAAGTAATGTCTCTGTAGAAAAATCCTAGTTTAACATTTAAAAATTTGGTCGTTTTCCCGGATATAATTAAAGCAACCAGGAAAATGACTTTTTACATCTTCCAACGATTAATTCAATAATGGTAAAAGAAACTTGAGTGTGTGTGTTGACAATTTCATGGAGTGTTACTAAAACTATTGCATTTTTGAGGAATGAAAAAGAAATATCAATATTACTGCGTCTACATCTATTATAACAAACCACAAGTAACAATAAAAATCTACGATCTTGAATTCAAAATGATATAGTCAAATATTCAATTGTTTTGATGTTGAAGGACAACTTGGTTCAGAAAATGACACTTTCACTCGTCATCACTCATTATCATCTTATCATGGGGAAAAGCACAGCCATTTAATGGTGTTATCAATGATGATGATGATGATGATGATGATGATGGTAATGATAATAATAAAAATAATACTAGTCAATTTTTACAAATTGAAATCGATAAGATAACGATGCTAGGTATGTTACAGATTTAGATTCAACAATTGAAGCAAAAAAATAACCCATACAGTTTTGATCAATAAAAATATCAAATATTACTTTTGAATATGATGATACATTTTTGATATTAAAGTTATCAAGTAAACAATTCTGTTCACGATTTTTTTGATAATCATGTTGATAACATGACAACTAAAGCAGAAAATAAGGATTTTAGTGAGGTAATGGAAAATATGAAGATGGAAAGACGACGATAACGATAATAACAATAACAATAACAATAACAATAAATCAAGAATGTCTAGATTATTAAATATGTCATCTTCAATATCAGATTTAGCAATCACAAAAATGATTAACCATTTAAATTATATTAATGATGATTAATGAGAAAAGTTGATTATAAATCGCTTTGTATAAATTTTATTACGCAAATTTGACAATGATTTTCTCTTTATGAATCACAAAGAGCAACTCACAATTTTGCATTTTTATCAATTTTAACAACCACTTTACCAAAATTTTTACCGTTCAACAGTCCCAAAAAGGCTTCAGGCGCATTTTCAATTCCTATAACGAATTCTTCTTTATACTTTAATTTGGAAGATTTGAACCACTCATTCATATCTTTTAGAAACTTCTCGTACAATTCTTTATAATGATCGGTCACAATAAAGCCTTGATAAAGAGCACGCTTTGGAATAGTAGCGATAAGGTTTTTGATACGGTATGGTTTTTCAGCATTGTATTGTGATATCATTCCACAACCTATCACTCTTGCAAAATCATTCAGTTGGAGCAATACTATATCCAACATCTCTCCTCTATTAAAAAAAGAAAAGGTTTTGTTATTATTTTCTGTTTATGGCAAATAAATAATGTTTTAAGAAATTATAAAAATATTACCCAACATTATCAAAATAAATATCTATTCCATTTGGACATAGTTCTTTTAATTTCTGATCAAAAAATGTTTTTTAAGAATTGTTAATATACAAATATACATATACATGCATTTGTATACTATACAATTATCTTTTTAATTATTTAATTTAAGAGTCACCTACCTTTTTGATATCAACTTTTTTATAATTGAAAGCTCCATCCAGTTTCAATTCATTTAAAAGGAAATCAACTTTACCATCATCACCAGCGGAGCCTATAAATATAAAATAAAATTAAGTTTTATTAACATATGATTTTCATTAAAAGTAGAAAAGGGCATAAATTATTTACCAACAACACGTAATCCTAAAATTTTAGAGATTTGACAAGCAACTTGACCTACTGCGCCTGCTGCTGTCTGATTTTAATAATAATTATCAGTTATAATTTTTGTTTACCCATGTCATGTTTGATTGTTTTTGCTTACCGAAATATAAATAGTTTCGCCCTTTTTTGGTTGACCAATTTTAAATAATCCACAATAAGCTGTCATACCAGGCATACCAAATAGTCCCAAAAAATAGCTAAGTGGAATACCTAAATTTTCAGCAGAATTTAAACCCTCAGTGAATCTTGAATTTTGATTTGCAGTTTGCGCCGGAATCACCGAATATTCCTCCCATCCTAATGAATGAATGAAGAAAAAAATAATATATTTTTTTAATATCATAAAATCAAATTCTCATCAAATAAATATACACATGTATGCAAATTAATATATACCAGTCATTCCAGAATATAAATCACCAACTTTATATCTTGAATTATTACTTTTGATCACTTTACCAACACCACCAGCCTCCAAAACTTTGCCAACAACAAATGCTTCATTATAAGACTTGATTTCTGGTGGTCTCATTTTGCCACGCATATAAGGATCTAATGATATATAGATGTTTTTTACCAATAATTCATCTTGTTTGAGACCATAGGAATCAATATCGATTTTATTGTGTACAATTTCGATATGTTCACCGATTACTGGAAATTGACGTCCAGGTATTGATTTGAATTTAATTCCTGTGTTGCTGGTCATCTTTTTTTTTGTTAAATATTAAATTTAATAATAAATAATATCTGAATACGTCAGTGTCTTGCACAAACTGCACAGGTGCGGAGGTATTTATATTAATAGTTAAAGGTTTTGTTTGAATGTGCATCTATCCTATTCGGATCATTTATCAATCGGTTTTAATTTGTCGTGCAAAACGATTTTCCGAAATTTTTTGGTGATCGACGTCAGCTCCCACTTAGTATGGTTACGTCATCTATAAATGTCAATTTAAAAATGTAGATCTTTCCAATATAAGTAATTTATTTTTTATATTGCACCATAGTGCAAAAAAAATTTTTATATGTTAAGGGTAGAGTATACGTAACACGAATCTACTATGATCTACAATGGCTAATTTTGATTTTATCCGGTTAAAAAAGT